TCGACGCCGTTGTCACCAGTGTTATCGATGCGGTTGTCACCGGTGTTGTCGCTCCTGGCGATGTCTCTCACGAGGTTTGCTGCTGCGTCTTCTGCTGTAGGTCCGTCCGCGACGATTTCATTCGAGTTGCTGCCGTTGTTATCTCCGTCGATGGTCATCTCTTCCGATCTCAACGTGGTGGTGCTTGTTGAGTAAGAAACTTTACTGTCCCCTTAGATGGCTCCAAATTATGGCGGTCGAATCTCACAATTAGAATCTAAGTGATTCTTTAGGGTTTGTAAAGTTCTGTGGAAAGCAAGCAAACACAAAGATCTCAAGAGAGTTTTTATTAGCTGTGAAGAAAGGTGTTACAAGAGTTTTTTGCTAATGAATTCCGATCCCCTTTTTGGGTGATAATGAGGGACTATATATAATACTTCTAAGTAAATGGGCCAGCTAATAAAATAGACCTGGTCNATTAAGCAATATATCTAATTTAGACTCATTATTCAATTAAGCCCATTTTGCTTATGNATTTAATANCATTTTGGGCCTAGATTCAGACTGGGCCTTNGTANACTTNNTTTGATTTCGTCAAGACNTTGTGGAGTTGATCTCATCGCCATATCGATCTCATAGGAGTGAAATCCGACCTCCACACCTTCTTAGAAAAAAATAAAGAAAAAAACTCTTTTTCCTAACCATAACTTTACATAGAATATTTCTCTCACCAAATTTTAAATAGAATATTTTTCTTCTAACCATAACTTTTTTCCTACTTAGTTCTACTTTTTCCCTCTAAATTTTACTTTTAATTTACCGACTCTATATCTTCTGCAACTCAGATTTTTGTCTTCTTCTTTTCTATATTGCTATCACGTGCTATTTAACTTGTCTTTTTTCAGATAAATTTATCTAACTTTTTTGTTGATAAAATCCCAAAGTAATTAGTTTTTACTTTTATCTTTACTATATTATATATATCATGCATTAATATTTTTTGTAAACAAATAACGATGTATTTTTTGTTTTTTTTTTAATTGAATAACGATGTATTTTATACAACAAATATAACAATTGTCTAAGAAAACAATAAATCTTTGGCACACAAAAAAAAAAACAATATACATATACAAAATCAAGACAACCAATTCAATTTGCATAATCTAGAATTTGGACGCAAGCTTTGTATACAATTATTTTTGGAAATAAATGAATGTCGAAGTAAGCGGTGCGAGCAGAGCCGAATTGGAAGAACAAAAACCAAATGTTGGCCATAGTAAATTTCAGAAAAATTGTTTCTCAACAAAAAAAAAATTCAGAAAAATAGAATGATCGATAAAAATTAAGGGTTAATTTGCCCAATAGACCAAAAAAAAATTATAATTAAATTTATAGCCAAAACTACTCTATGTGGCACAATCACAACCTTTAAATTTAGGGTTTTTGGC